TCTGTATTTAAGAGAGAAAAGCCAAGCATAAGGCTAAAAGTTATAGGTAATTTCCGAAAGATGGAGGACTGAAGTGGATAACCAATACCCAATAATCTCCAGTAAATATGTAAATAAATAAATTAAGAAATGATTAGCCAACAAACTTTTTGTCCCCGTTCCTCTTCAGTGCATAATTAATTCATTAAAGATTTAATTCGATCATGAATAAATTACAGTAAATATTTACTTTTAATTGATGAGCTTTAAGCGCTGTTCATGGAATTTTCCAAGGCCTTTTTGAGCGCACCTCCGCCAACCCATTCTTCAGGCAAGCTCTCGCACGTGTCATCGGTCCACCTCTGTGGCACCCAGCTCCAGCTCCACTACCGCGGACACGTACATCGGACATTAAATGACATTTTATTGAGCAGCATCGACAGGGGTACCAGAAAGAGAACCTGTGTACCAACCACCCTCCATCTGGTACCACCTTTTGATGGAGTTCTCAACTGTGGAGCGAGTGTCGCTGCTGTGTCGATGACACGTTTTGCCAACGCATCATACAACCTTGATGATGCCAAAATGAATGCGTCCTGCCATAACGGAAATGGAACGAAGCCCCCTCTCGAAAACCGCCTCACTCCAATCAAAATGGCGATTTGGAGAGAAAGACAATGAGAGAGGGAGGGGGAGAGAGAGAGAGAGCTGCCCCCGAACGAGCTAGAAACATTCGCAAATGGCTGACAAATATGGCAACGCGATGCGTAGCAACAATTGAAACTGTTTTTGTTCAAATTTGCAGAAGAATTGACTGCTGCTGGGGAGCTTTGATGAGCTGAGGTGGGGTTAGGATTCGACGCGTGCCAAAGGATATTGGTTTTTGGGGAAAAGCAACGGTCTATTGACATTTCCACTGCGTTCACAGCTCTTAATTAAGGTGTAATTTTCGATATCGAACGCGCGGCAGACAAAGCAAAGTTTTTGCAATTGAAGTGGGGTTTCCTTTTCGTAATTTTGTAGCAGGAAGTCAGGGAAAGAACAGATGAACGTTGTTCAATGTTTAGAGAAGCAAAAGCAGGCCGTTTTATATTGTATATTCGTAAGAAACTTTAGAACTTTAAATACATATAACAATTACAACTCGAACAATTACAACTATGAACAAAATTAAAAGGAAATCTGAGGAAAATTCCAACAAGAAATCGAACAAGACCTCGTCGTTTGCTGCCACAAATGACATCGTGCAGGGAATGCCGAAAAAAACAGCACGCAAACAGAACATAACCAAAAACAAAGAAGAGCCAAAAGTGTGGCAGCCAGAAGCCAAGGATCTGAGGAAGTCCTCATCGGGAAATGTCACCATGAAGGGGATCCAACACAATTCTTTCACGATACTCTACCCCAAGGAGCCCAAAAAAGTGACCTTTATAACGCCAATACAGATCAATAGCACAGGTCAAAGATCAAAGTACGATACATATAAGAAAGCAAGGACTCCCAGCGCAAAGATTCAACCAAAGAAGATGAAATAATAAGCATTTAATTTAGAAAAATTATTGAAAATATGAATTAATTTTTGATGTGTCTGGGAAAAAGTGCAAAATCATTTGCTATTGTTTGCTATAATGAAAATATATTACACGCAGTTATGTTTAATTCATATATTTAAACCAATACACTAATCCCTTTAACCCACCTCAAGCTTCAACTAAAAATCAGCCATTTGGCATACGAACCTTTACCATTCATATTTCCTTACCCACTTTCAATGGGTGTTCCTTTGAGCTGTCGTTTCATGGAAACCCCCCGAGCCCGACAATAGTTGAACCCATAAACTAGAGCAATGACTGCCTCATTGTGAGGCTTTGGCCAGGACTGAGTACTATATGGAGGTTCATGTTTATCCATAGAAAATAGTACATAATGAGCCCGAAAATCAACCAATTGATTTCAATTATATTACACATACACATGCAGACATGTGCACATGGCCGTAGAGGTCGTTGAGTCAATGATGTGGTAAATTATTCACAAACGAATTGACAAATGCTTCACGGGGTTAAATTATTTCTAGAACAATTAAGTGGAAAACCAACTATCTGTCATCTAAATGTTTCGTGTTCGACTTTTAATAGAACTTTTGGGCTGTGTGTGTGTGGACTGGGTTGGATGGGATGTAAAAGAAACTATTTCCAGCACTTTTCATTATTTATGAAAACCAAGCAGCCAACCCACACACATGTCAGGCAGTGGCCAAAAGCCACGCAAAGGCAAACCCAGAGCAAATGCAAGGCAGGCCAGGGACAGGCACCTCGTGCACCTCCCTACCCGTTTTGCCGCGTTATTGTGTGGCTTGGCATCATGCAACCTTACAGAGAGACGGAAGGTCGTAAAGAGGTAAAAGGAGAGCAGAAATATTGCTTGGCGCAAACGCACAAAGTGCAGAACGTGTCGGAGCCCTTTGAGTGCAACTGGAGAGCTACTAAACCACCGCTGGTTGCTGCCTTCTCAGCAGATTTTGATTTAACTAAAATTAAAATCAGCTTCGTGTCCCGCTCTCAGCCTTAGTTCCTTACCCCACCATCTACGGCTAACTGCATGTCCTTGTCGAGCGACTAAGTGACCGTTTCCCCACACACACATGTCAGTTTATATTATCCGAGCGCATTTATCTCGCATTGGCAATTGGATTTGTAATGTGACCAAAGCCAGACAAAACGACAGCATAACAAAGCAATGGCAATGGTCATTGAAAAGGACAATTGTCTGTGTGTGTGTGTGTGTGTGTGTGTGAGAGACGTGTGCATCGAGCAAAGCTGATGGACAGCCTGACGGGTGTACAGTTGTGCTTTTGTTCGCTCAAGATTACGCCACGGACTTCGCATGAGGGGGGCTCAAATAAAGTGTTTTGACCTTTTTAGCTCGAGTCCAGATTTTATTCATTTGCAATGATGTTTGATTGAAAAGTTGTTAAGTACTGAGCTTAAATTAAATTAAGTTATTTGGGGTCACGATGCAAAGATGCTGAAACCATTATTGAGCTTGGCAAATAAATAGGAAATTAAATAGGGACTCCCCTGTTTTGAAGACTTACAAAGTTACCTTCTAAGTAATTTCGCCACAGATGAGAGGATTAAGCTCAGTCACACACACATTCAAGTGAGTTAGAGAAAGAAGAAAAATAAAAGAGATAGCGATATCAATGCCTCAAACCCAAAACTAGTTCACATCGGGAAACGGGAACGGGAATGGCAGCACCTCGACCCAACGCACTATACGTAACCGGAGAGAAAATCCGAAAACGCAAATTTAAATGCGTCGATGGTGCGATGGTGTTGCCGACACTAGACACTCTGCAAGCTGGGGCAAGGACAATTGAAGTGCACACATGGCACGGCATAGGGCACACGGCACACGGTACACGGCACCGCGGCAAAGTGAAGAGAGTGAGGGAGCGAGAGCGAGTCGTGAAGCACTCAGTTATATTGTCCAACTGAGTGACGGTGAAACAACCGCACCCAAAGTGCTTGCCCTGGCAGTGCATAGATAACAAACGAGTGCAAGGATAACGAGGATACACGGCAAGGACGACGGACTACGGACTACGACTATGGCAGCGGAAGTAACGCGAAAAATGGCGAAACAGTAAAAGCAGCGATACTTACACATTGAAATATTGAAATACAATTGGTTTAGAATGTGCTCTTGCCCCTCGAGGCAGACAGGATGGCATTTAAGGAGAAATACCCACCCAACTGAGAGGTGAAGGATGTGGCATTAGAGGGTTTTTGTGGCTCTTTCGCTTAAAGTTTATCGACCTGATTTTAATAATGCGCATCAAATGTTAGATATTAGATTAAAGGCTCGATTCTCAGACAAAAGATCAAGCAAATTAATGGCGATAGTCGACGATGTTGAGCCGAAACGCCACCCATTGAAGTGCCACGCCAAGGCAGTCCTCCATCCATTTCTGTCCTTCGTCTAAGGTAGTTAAATTGCGCGTTAGTGTCAGAGCCAGAATTGAAATCCTTTTTCCCTTGCAGGCACTTTTCCTTCGCGGAACACTCCACTCGGAACTCTCTCCTCCAGCGTCAATCACGAAGCGTTTTCCTCCATTGAGTGGGACACGTTCTCGAGCAACTTTTCGAGCTGCGCCGAAAAGTTCGCCACAAACAAGGCGACACATGACACGTACTCGACTTGACTCGACTGGAAGCTTCGTCCTACTCCACCTTCTGCTGCTTGTCTCGACTGAGCTTCCAGAAACCACCAACCCACTGCCACCCTCCTAGTCACGGGGATTATTTTTAGTTTTTTGTCAGTGTTTTAAAGTTTAAAGCTCTTTTGTGGCATATTTGCATATTAAGTGGCATGCGTTGGGCTGTAGGACAAAGGCAGTCGTGGCACTAGAGCCTTTTTGAGGGCGGGAGCAGGTCCTGGCACGAGAGCCTTTAAGGGGGCGGGAGCAGGTGTTGATGTTGTTAGTTCTTGCCTAGTCTTACGCTTGAGCCAACTTTCTAACCGAAACCGTTTTCGGTACAAGAGGAAAATTTCAACTAGAGCAGATCGAAGACGGGAATACTCTAGCAGTCGCTTCTGAGTCGTATCTATATTCGGATTTTAATTCAATTTACAAGCAGAACTTTTGAAATTATCAAAATCAAATTACGGTTCTCAATAGAAATATTATATCATTTCTAAATGGTACGGAAGGTGCCTCCTCCCTTCAATTGCAAGTCCTGCAAACATCTCTACGAAATCTCCAACACCCTTTGGCAGTGTATAAAAATCACTGCTGTCAGCATTAGGATTACCTTTCTCTGCCTCTGTCTCCGGCTCTGTCTCTGTTCGAGTGTGCAGAGGTTTTAGATGGTTTAGGGTTCCGTTCCGTTCCGTTCGTGTTCCTGGTCCCCATTCAGAGCCTGCCAAAAGGTTTCAAGTGCCTGCGCGTTCCTGTGTTAAGCTCAAACGAGCTGATAAGTCAAATTAGCATAGATTGATGAAAACTGGGGTCGCTCTTTGGAGGATTTGCTTTACATTTACAATACATTTCGAGGAACATTTAGCAACTACAGCTAAGACATTTACGTACAAATACTCAGTTAACATTTATCACGTGTCAGGTAATACAAATCGCTGTTTTTTTTTGTTTTGGGATCATCCCGTTGCAGCTTTCTGCTTAAGCAGAAATTGTTCAAATACTTAATTTGCTTTGTCCCCCAGCTAGGTGCTCTTCATCAGCTGCTCCACGCGCACGCTGGTGGTCTTGACCAGCGCCTCCGTTGGATTGGAGCAACCGTTTAGCACATCATCGACACAGGCTCGCACTGTCACTCGATAGAAGGACTCCGGCTGTAGTTCATTAAGGTAAAAGTAGTGCTGATTGCCCGGCACTTGGATGCCTGTCATCTCTTCCTCAATAGTGCATTTCTCCTCCAGCCGCTGGCTGACAGTGGCATGGTCATCCTGACACTTTTTCATGGCGTGCGGTATCTGCAGACTGCATATATCCAAATCCTGTGCGGCACGTTGCCGCTGCTCAATCAAGTTGCGATAAATGTCGTATCGGACTGCGGCCATCTTTTCCTGAACGTTGGTTAAATTGCTGGGCGCTGGTCTGGTTGGCGCTGGCGTGGTTGGTGCTGGAGTCGTTGTTGGTTCTTGCTTCATGCCAGCCCTGAGATCATCAAAGTCAATTACTTTTTCAAACTTATCCTTCTTTGGCTGTTCCTGGCGACGTCTAAAATGCACAAAGAATACTTTAATAGCTTTAGCTTAATATAGTTATAGAAAACGTACGAAACATAGATCAGATTGGGCAGTGCATCTTCGTAGGTGATCTGCTCTTTGTTATAGTAATCCTCGTCATTTGGCTGTGGCCCCGAATCGTAGGGCGTCACATCGTCGCACTGGCAATCCAACAGACTCACATTAGCGGGCCTCGGATTCAGATAGTTTTTGCCTTTCTCTGCATTGGTGAGATTGTGTGGCTCAAAGGTCACATAATATTTGCTGATGATGCCATTGGGACGACGCGGTGGCCACCAATGTAGTAGCTATCAAAGAGCATATAATAAGCCTTAATAGACAGCGATATATTACACTTTTGTTTATCCTTACAATCTGAGTGCTGAGCTCCGAACTGCCATAGATCCTGGCCACGGGACTGGGCTTGTCCGGCAGTGTTTGAAAGTAGCGAATTTGTGAGTACGCATCAATCTGCATGTGATAGTCCGTTCGTGTTAGAGTCTTTACAAAAAATGCATACTGTGTGTAGGGTTTGAGTCCGGAAATAACATGACGCCGACTCTTGGTGGCCGAGACATCCATCAGCCAACTGCAAAGCGACATAAACTTAAGATATATTTCGAAATTTTGTTAGTTTCTCCCTTACTTGTCGTGCCCGCAACCGTGTCGTCCATCGTACATAGTCACATTGCGCTGTGGCGCTTCCTTATAGTAGTAGGAGTAACCAATCAAGGTCTCCATGCCCTCCCAGTCCATGTAGTCCAGCAAAATGCGCACCGCTGTGGCACTTATATCATCCACAACTGGTTTCAAAGTGCGTACTGCATCTCCACAAATGACCCGTTCGCCATTCGAGTTGGGTGAGACTTCTGCCACGGATATGTGCTGCACACTCTTCAGGGATGGCTCAAGCTGTAGAATCTTCTCATGGCAGAGGCGTGGGTTCAGATGAAAGAAGATGGAACCACGCTGCACGAGCACCTGATGATTGGGTGTCCAAATGTTCTCCAAGTGATGATTGTTCACCACGAAGAGCGCGTATCTTAAAGGGTCATCGTGTAGTCATCGTGCAGTTTGTTTATCTGGGTCACTCACTTGTTTTCAATCAGCTGATCGCCTCGTATGACATCCAAATTCTGCAGGAACGACAAAGACATCAGCTGCGCCGAGTGCAAGACCTTCAGATAGCCAGTAATTTCCTTGACACTGGCCAAGGCTTTCTCCAACGGCGCCACAATTTTCTCTAAAATACAAAAATGTAAATATAATTGAAGCCAAGACAGCTAAAACTCACCCTTGATGTCAGTCAATTCAATGATTAGTGATCCATTGATGGTCACACAATCCTGTAAGGGTTCCAAGTCCGCTCCACTCCGCACATGATAGACACCCTTGCACTCCACCTGGCAGGTGATCAAACCATTTGGATCACTTACTTCCTTCTGATTGGGGGGACATTTATCCACACAGCGATAGCCGCGCGTGAGCGGTATCATGCCCAGCTGACGGCACTCCTTGTAGCTGATGCACTGCCTCTTGTGCAGCTCGTAGCTAATCACACACTGATCCACACATTTGCCTTTGCTCTGATAGTTGCCGCACAGCGTACAATTCTGATCGGAACAGCCCGTGACACAACTGCCCTTGCAACAATTTCCCACATTGTCGCATCCATGGAGACCACAGGCCGTCGGACAGCCCTTGAGGCGTGGCGGCGTGAGTCGAATCTGGGCAGTGTTCATGTTCCAGCAGAAATCAGAGATATTCTGGCGGAAGGCATAGTCCGCGGCCAGTCCACCACACACCGGACAATGACTGGAAGGTTTGTTGTGCTGTAAGCAAACATTTATTAACAAAATACAAAATATAAGGTCTCTGTCTTACCTTGAGTGAAAAATGCTGCTGTGTGGCATTGCTCAGTAGATGCATCCAGTCCACGGTCTCCACAAAGCACAGCATCGGGTTCGTTTCGATGCGTATGAGACCGTTTTGAATGCGCAACAGCTCGACCAAGCCCAATTCCCGCAGATTCCGATTCTCGTGGACGACGAGGGCATATTGATCGAAGAGCAAGGCCTGACCCCGAATGATGCGCAATTTAGGAAATATCGCTTCCAGCGTGAGCAGCCCCGTGCATCGATACACCATCAGATAGTCGCTGATTTCCGAGACATTGCTCGAGAGTAGTTCCAGGCTCGCATTACTCTCGGAGGGCAGGTCGACATTCGCAATCCGTACGTGACCGATCACGTGTGTACAGTTTTGAAGTTTCTGAAAGTCGGCGACCTTGTTTATCTCCAGGGAGCCGCAAATTGTGTCGCATCTGGCCAGAACCGGCCACAGTGTGAAGCAGAACAGTAGCGGCAGTTGCCTCATGGCTGCCAACCTGACACTTTCAATTGACAGCACTTGACCCCGGGCCGCGCAATCGATTGGTGGAGTGGGAGGGAGTCGACAATTAACGTCAGCCCGCTTGAATGTCAATGTCGCTGGATGTTCTGAATTTCTGGCGATCTCTGGATAGTTCTAGACACGCTCTCTCGATCACGTTCCGTTGCGGCGAACGCTTCGATTTTAACTGATTTACCCGGCGGCAGCGACGCGACAGCTTCTCCATGTTCGATCGCTTCAATTAGCTTCGGCCACCGTTTCTTCTGCCCATTTCGTTTTTGCGTATACCCTAGCGGTGAGTGTTATGAATTTGTGGAGCTGTTTGCAATGCAAAGAAGGAATTGACGGGGAAGGGGAATTGACCATTGTTTGTCTATGCCGCAGGAACTTCCTAAGAGGTAAACTCATCACACAGAAAAGCTCTCTTCAACAGAACATATTCAAATACTTGTATTGCATATCCCATTAAGCTCAGATATGAATCATCTACATGCAAGAGTATCAATAACGTCGGTCGCTGCATCGTTCTCTTTCATGTTATTGTTTTTTCTCTTCGTGCGCCCATCTTCTGCTTCTAATCGGTTCACTACACCAGCTGCAAATTTACTGTACGCCAAGATTTAATTGTTTTACTTGCGTGTGCTCTCTGTTTGCTGCTGATGTAGATGCGCTGCGCTGTGCTAGGGCGTGCGCTGGCAGTGACTAAGGGATGAGTGAAAATGGGGCGAATAGCATTTCGAGTGTTTACTTTTTGAAGTGTAAACATAATTTGCAAGATTACGGGAATATGTAGCTATTTTTTGTAGCACCAACACCAACAAGGGGGTAAACCCCCTTGTTTACCCTTTATGTGCGCCTCTGGCATTCCTGTGCTCCTCATCTCCTCATCTTGTCCATCTGTTACGATTCCACGTTTACGTTGTTTCCTTCTTATGTTTCATTTGCACCGGCAGCCCAAAAACACTTGTTACTCCTGCATCCATCCTCCTTCTCCCTCTTCTCATCCTTTGCGACCTTGCAACAGAGCGAACCGGTTAACCATATTCCATTCTGTCTGCTTTTTCTTTGCTTTTGTTTTCTTTTTCTGTGGCTTGGCATGGTTGGTTGTTTGCTCGCGCTGTCGTCCCCGTCGCTGCTGCCTCTCTGTCTGTCGCTCTCGTCGCTGCTGCCTCTCTGTCTGCCGCTGCTTCTGCGTCAGCGAGGGGTGAGTGATAACGAAAATGCAATGCTTCGCAGAAATTAAATTGCACCGACGAACAATTCAATTAGAGAGTAGGAGTAGGCGAACAAAACAAGAAGTAATAAAAGATAGAGAGAAATCGATATGCCAACAATGGGATACCCCTTATTTTGGGGACAATTAAGTGGAAATTTTTCAAAATAAACTGAAACGAAATAATATTACTTCTTCGTATAGAAGAAGTACATATGTAACTTATGTTAACTCAGTATATGTATGAAAAATGGGATTTAATGCTTCCTCAGGCTTTTTCAAACTATCACCAATCTACCTATAGACTACAGGGTAAACAATGCGTAACCAAAACCGAAGCTTTGGCACACCCAATTCAAAGCGTGGTGATGCAGTTTTGGAGTTGGGAGCACAGCACACAAGGAGAGAGCGGTGAGCAATGAACAATTGGCAGTTCATTAAAGTGCACGTAGCGCTGAGAAAACTCAATTGAAATTGTTTTTCTATAAAAAGAAGATTCTATAGGTATGTATGTGTATGTGTTTATGTATAATCAGTAGAACCAAATAAGAGGACCTTTAAACTGGGAATACATCAAATGAATAATCAATTTATGTTGGTACAAAGCTACATTTTTATGTATGTATGTATGTATGTACAGATGTGGATACACAAGCCAAGGAATACATACATGTGCACATATGTATGTGCGCCCGGGTCGAAGTTCTAAAACTGAGCTCCCAATCACCCTTTTTATTTCAAAATTTGTTAGATAGTTTCGTGCCCTAGTTGGCACGACCTTGGTTCATATGTACATATGTACTTATAAACATACATATGTATGTACTAAAATATTTTTTTTTTTTTTTTTTTTTTTCTCTCTCTTTATATTTACAATCTGTTTTTAAACAATAAGTAAATTGTATAATTAATATTCAATTAACAGAAATAGCAGTTTTCCAATGAGCCCTGCTATTATATATAACATCTTTTTAGTTTGTTAAATTTATCTATCAGGGATATCGAGAATGTGGTATCTTTTCAGTCTTCTTACTGTTAGGCTATTGTCTAATAGACTTAAGGCTAAATTATTTTCGTGGTTGTGGAGTCTGTCGATGTATTTCTTACTAGTTTTCTTTATTTCTTCTTTAATGGTTGGAATATTCAGATCTTTGTGGATGTTTGCATTAGATGCGTAAAACGGAGCATTGACAATTTGTCGCAAAGTTTTTGATTGGTAACGCTGAAGTATTTCAATATTTGAGTTGCTAGCAGTTCCCCAAAGCTGTATAGCGTAGGTCCAAACAGGCTTCAGTATGGATTTGTAGAGGCGAATTTTGTTTTCCAAAGTGGTTTCTGATTTTCGACTAATCAGCCAGGACATTTTTAGTGTTTTAAGTCTAAGTTGTTGACATTTTGCTTTAATGTGGTTTTTCCATGTTAATCTGCGGTCGAGATGCAAGCCGAGATACTTCACACAGGTACTTTGTGGAATTGGTGAGCCGTTAAGTGTAACATTTGGGCAGTTACCTGGTCTTAATGAAAACGTTATTTGGACGGATTTCAGGGAGTTTATTCTAATTTTCCATCGAAGGAACCAGTCTTCAATTAGGCTTAGCTCACTCTGCAGGAGTTCAGAAGCTTCATTTATAGATGTGCTTGTGGCTAAAACGGCTGTATCATCAGCATATGTTGCAACAGTGCAGTTGTTTGTAACTGGCATGTCGGCCGTATATAGGGTGTAGAGAATTGGTCCCAATACGCTTCCTTGTGGGACGCCTGAGTTGATGAGAAGTAGTGATGAACTATCGGTTTTCTGCTGCACGTAAAAGCATCTTTTAGCCAGATATGATTTCATTAATAAATAGTACGGAGCAGGTAGCCATTTCTTTATCTTGTACAACAAACCTTTGTGCCAGACTCGATCGAACGCTTGTTGAACATCAAGAAATGCAGCAGTGCAGTATTTTTTGTTTTCAAATGCCGAAACTATATCATTAATAACCCTGTGACATTGCTCAGGGGTCCCGTGACCCCTCCTGAATCCGAATTGGTATTCAGGAATGATGGAAAGTTCGTCTAAAATTGGTAACATTCTCTTCAATAGTATTTTTTCAAACACTTTCGAGAAAATTGTCAACAGACTAATGGGACGGTATGATGTCAATTCCGTTTCTATTTTGTTTGGTTTTAGGATCATAACGATCTNTTACTGTGTCGTATCCAGTAACTTTAAAAAAAGATTTGCTAGTGAAGTGTGTTTCTGAAATAAGCATGACGTCAATGGCATTCGTTTTTAAAAATAAAGCTATTTCATTTACATGGTTGGAAAGCCCATTGGCATTCCATATTCCTAAGTTTAGATTTATTTGCATAGCTTATTTACAAGTAACATTATCATGTTAAGTAAATTATTGGTAAGTTGAGATTGTTTTTCTAGAAGCTGTTCTATTCTTTCTAGAGACTTGTTCGAGTTACTATTTCCTGCAGCAACTTGAGCGTATGATTGGTAATCTTTGGGTTGTTGGGTCGAATTATTAGACGGAGCAAATGATTGATATGTACCATGGTCATTTTTATTTTTGTCATCTTTGGTGTTTCTCTGGTGGTTGCGTCCGCTTATTATTTTTTTTGATATAAGATCCTGATAGACTTTACACCCTTTATAACTAGCAGCATGATCTTCGTTGCAGTTGGCACATTTTGCTGGTTGCTCTTTATCTTTTGGGCAAACGTTACTGGGATGGTTAAGAGAGCATTTCACACATCTGTGAGTTTTGGCACAATATGACTTTGTGTGTCCAAATTCCTGGCAACGATAACACTGAACGATTTCTTTAGTTTTACGGGGTGGTTCTATATTAACAACTGCGTTACCAATGAATTTAACTTTGTATATATCTAAGTTCTTATTGTTGGGCTCAATGTCTAAGTAGAACAAATTCAATGGCTCTTTGGTTACACGACTTTTAATATTACTAATGTTTCTAACAGCGTGACCTTTGGACTCCACATCTTGTTTGATTAATTCGATATCCGTTGAGAAGTGCAAATTCTTAATAACAACTCTGAATGCCCTCTCATGTTTAAGTTGGTATGTGTGAAATTTGACAGAATCTTTAGTAAGAGTTTTAACAAGTTTCCTGTATTCTTCAATAGACTTTACCATAACTCTCACATGACCATCGCGTTGTACTTTATAAAAGAAAAGCTCTTTTTTAATTGTAGTCTCGAGGTAAACTAGCATTCCTTTTATATCACTGACTTCAGATAAGAATATAGGTGGCGGCTTGGCAGATTCAGTTAAGCTATCTTCAGTTATCATGTCCAATGCTTCGTTTTCATCTTCATTTCCGTTATTTGGCGTGCTGTCGCTTAGGAGGGCATATTGATTGGAGCTGGTTCTGGGTGCTAAGTCCAGAGCGATTTTTTTCTTTAGTAGAATAGGAGAGACTTGGTTTTGTCTCTTGACTGCCTTTGACTTCAATTTTACTCTCTGCCAGTTCCAAACCGTTGTGTCGTCTTCGTCGTCGTTCATGATAACAACAACACTTTGTTATTGCTTATCAGTAACCACTATTTTGTTTGCTTTTGTTTTGTGAATCGAATAGTACTTTTGCTTTATATTTACGAACTGAAAGTTTTTGCTAAGGCAACTTCGGCTCAAAAATTTACTTTTATTTCCGAAATTTTATTTTCACTTTCTCTCCTAGATGTTGCTCCTACGAGCAATGAATTGAAACTTTCCAGTAGATGACGGGCAAAAATGTTTCTAAAATATTACTCAAAATTATCCACTTTGTTATGTCGAGAAACTGTAGAGAAATGAACAGCACCCTTTCGAGGTTCTCGTTTGATGCTTTTGTTTATTGACCGTTTTTGGCTATGACCTATGCAAATTTCCCAAAAATGTACGCTTATTTACAGCAAAACGCAGTAAACATCGAAATTATTTAAATGGCCCTTGAACTTTGACTTGGAACGAAACGTTCAGTTTTTGCC